CTGGGTAACACATACTCCAAGAAGCACTGGAAGAAGCGAGAGCAGGACAACAGTGAGAAGACTCACGATGTGGAGCCCAAAGCTGCCGTAGATCAGAGTGCGAGGAAAAAAAACAAGAGGAAAACCAAAGCACCCTATGGGGTAGTAGGTGCCGAGGGTGACGAGACCAGAAGAAAGTCGCCCAAGAAAAGGGAGAAAAGGGATTGTAAACGGCAGGTCAAGACTCTCAAGTTGCCGAAAGCCCAGGTTTTGAAAGAGTGGGCCCTGCAGAACTGCAGCCCTCTGAAGGTTTCATCCACCCAAACCAGCCTTGTCAAAGTCAGAAAGAAAGGAGGCAGGGTGGGCCTTTGTGCCCAAGAGAGTCCCAGCTCCTCCTCAGAGTCTGAGTCCTCTCCGGAATCCAGCATCGAGGGCCACAGCAGTGTTTTGGAGGCCAGGAAGTCCCCGGAGAGAACACCCACTGGGTTACCAAAGGCAGGGCCTGTTGTGAGAAACCCGCCCGGGACCAGCTTGAACCTGGCTTTTGCCAAGGGCAAGGCAGCCAAACCATCGTCTTCCAGCTCAGACTCCAGCTCTGAGTCCGATGGCCCGAGCATGCCGTCCCAGAAAACCCCGGAGTGTGCCGCAGGTGTCCCACAGACAGCGGACCTCTTAGCAGGAAGAGGTGGTCCCCCGGGGCCAGGGTGCAGAAGGGTCCTGGTGGGGGTGCTGCAGGTACTGATAGAAGTGTAATTAGGAGAAGAGGATCCAGGCTCACATTTCTCAGCCTGAGAACCTGCATTTGAGGCAGCCTTCTGAGCCTGGAGGCGCGAGAGGCATCTCTGCCCTTGTGTGGCTGCTCCAGCTTCTTTACAGCCCATTTACCTAGGCCAGCGGTTCTCAACCTGTGGGTCGAGACCCCTTTGGGGGGGGTCAAACAACCCTTTCACAGGGGTCACCCGATTCATAACTGCAGCAAAGTGACAGTGATGAAGTAGCAATGAAAATAATGTTATGGTTGGGGGTGGGTGGGCGGTCACCACAACATGAGAAACTATGAAAGGGTCGAGGCATTAGGAAGGTTGAGAACCACTGCTAGGCCCTTAAGTTGAATTTCTTCAGTTCCCATTGCTGCCAAACCCAAACCCAGACTCACTGTCAGGCAGTTGATGCTGACTCAGCAACTCTAGAGCCAACGTAGACCTGCCCCCGAGTTCCCAAGGCTGGGGGTCTTCATGGCCGTGGTTCTCAACCCTCCTGATGCCGGGACCCTTTCATACAGTTCCTCATATGGTGGTGACCCCTAACCATAAAATTATTTTCATTGTTACTTCATCACTATCAGTTTGCTACTGTTAAGAATCGGGCTACCCTTGTGAAAGGGTCGTTCGAACCCCCAAAGGGGTCACGACCCACAGGTTGAGAACTGCTGCTTTATGGGACTAGAAAGCCCAGTCTTCTGAGGAGCGGCTGGTGGTTTCTGACCGCTGGCCTTGTGGTGAGTAGTGCTGTGCGGTAGTACTGCGCCCAGACTCCTCTTCCTGGTGTCATGGCAGCTCTCAACCGTTAGACGAGGGTGAGTCCTTTGCACCTCCCTCCCTCCTTTCCTCCCACCCACCCTCCCTCCCTCCCTTGGTGGGCCCTCAGGAGCTTGTTGCTGTTAACCTGGATATTAAATCAGCCCCACTGAAGTGCCTGGGAGGGTTGGTAGTGGGAGTCTAACTCTGCTGTAGCTCATTTGAGTACTATAATGATTATCATCATCTCCATTTCAGGATCCTGCACATTTTAGGATCAGCTAGTGCCACTTCACAGAGGAATAGAGTTGTTTTCCTGTAGTGAAACATTTTGGAGGAAGCATTGTGGAATTGTATAGCTGGCGGTTACCACCCCAGAGGATATACATCGGTTTAGTGTTTTTTATTTAAGCAAGGTGAAAATGTTTGATTTTTTAAAATCAATCTACATTTCCAAATCGGAAATGAGTCCTCAGCCCCTCCCCTTTGGGCCCACCCCACGTAGTAACATAGACAGAGGGTGAGCTCTGGGATCAGCTGGAACCGCGCTGGCTGCTGCTTCTGCCCTTGTTCGCTCCACGTCTTGGGCAGGCGACGCATCTGAACAGCCATTCTGTGATCCGGAAGGTGAAAGATGCTGACCTCGTGGGGCAGGCTGGAGTAGAGAAAATAGATCCGAAATGCTTGGGACGCAGTGTCTATTCAGTAAACGAGAATAGTCGTTCGGAGTTGGCCGTAAGGGCCAGGTAGGCCATTGTGCCTGCCTTTTCCCGTCAGCCGTTGGGCACATTCTCTC